AGATTATGGGATTAAAATTTTTATTTTAAATATTTGAATATTCAAAATTTAATACTTTGTTGTTTTTTTATATGAAAAATGGGATAAAAATTGATCATGAAGTCAAATTTTATTAGGTAAATTGATTCAAAAATTACTTGCGAATCAAATTTAACATTTAATGAAATTCAAAGACCAAATTAAACAATTATTCTAAAATTTTTGGTTGCACTCGACATTTTATTTACCTTTTTTTCCCTTTAATCTAATATTTTTTTTATTTATATGTAATGCCTAAAATGATAATCTTGAAGAAAATTGAATCAATAATGATTATTATCTTGCTTTGACAGAATTCACTTCCATACAACCAATATCATTCCCATTAATTAAAATCACCTTTTCACTTGTAATAATTAACAAATTTCAAAAACTAAAATCCTTATAAGTCAAATGGCTTTAACATTTTCTTAGAGAAATAAATGCATGTAAAGAATAAATATATATTAAAATTTGGATTTTTAATTTATTATACTGCTAATTCATATCAAATTTTATTCCTGAGCTTGTATTTTGAATGGTTGTAATTACTACTGTAAAGTTAAATTTTATTCAGTTAGATTTTTAAATTTAAAAAATTTTGACTTATTATTTAAGTGAAATTCAATTTAATAGACACGTTTTGATGATATTTAAATATTTATTAATATAAAAATTTTTAATTTTAAGTCTTGATTGATATTATAATGGTCGGATTTTTTTGAACCTTTGATCTTCTTATCTTTTCTCTTTTCTGAGACCAATGAAACTGGAAAATTCAAGAAAATGCAAAGAGCCCACACCTCTCAAAATGGAGATGAGATCATAAAATCACTCACAATATTTTATTAATTATTCTGCTCTTAATATTAATTTATTTAGTAGTAAAAAATAGACAATCATTAAAGCAAAAAGATTAATTTCAACCTGGTGTGAGACTGATAATAATATTTTATATATATAAATATATATTATATATATAATTCTTGGTTGTTGCTTGTGGATCAATGCAGCCTGTGATAAGATAATTCTTGGTTGTTGCTTGTGATTCAATGCAGCCTGTGAGTAGTGCTTTCTTTTTTCTTTTTTCTTTTTTTTTACATTGTCCAGTCCAACAAAATCATTATTAAGTCAAATTGATTATTATTTCTCATGAAGAAACATTAGCACCGATAATAAATAATAATAATCATAATAATATTTAGACATTTTCTTTCTATGTCAATGTTTTTGGTCAGCACGTGACACTACTTTTCCCGCATGCAGAAAGTAGGTGTGAAAATGCCTCTCAATTAATTAAATTTACAAACTTTAATATTTAAAATACAGTTTGAATTTAATTTGTAGAATTAAAATATTTATATGCTTATTTCAAATCCACTAAATAATGAATTTGTTTTTAATTTACATGTACATTAATTAAAAAACTATTTCCATTTCTTATTTGATTCTTAGTTATATTTCTATTAACCTAATAATCCTATGAATTAAAATATTTAGATAATGAAAATATAATTTTTTTACCAATCAGCCATCAAAAATAAGAATTATAAAAGATGAAATATTATATTCTATTACACATCTTTGAATGATTTGTTGTCCATAAACCATCAGATATTGTAAAAATTTAATTAGTAATAACATATGAATATTCAACTGCGCGTTTAAATAATACTTCAACTTACATGATTATTATGGTTAAGTACCAAAAGATATTCTACTTGTTAATTAATAATTAATACTGCTAGCTATAACCAACAAAATACATCTTTGTGAGTGTATTTATATATATATATATATTTATAAAAGGAGATAAATTTACATCAGCGTATATTAGTATAGTATAGCATAGCATAGCATGTGCAATACATATATATAACCGACCAGCCGCACCAGAAAGGAAAGAAAATGAAGCACAATAGTATTTATTGTTTTTTTTTTTTTAAATAATATTGTTTGGTCTGGAATTAAGAAACCGTCCTGTAACATATTATATTATTCTTTGCAACTGTGTTATGTTCTAAAATTCTCCTTGTTATGCCCGAAGAATCTCGAAACTGCCATTGTAAAAAGCATTTATTATTTTTTTTAATTTTATTTTATTTGATTGAAGAATATTCTCATCTTTCGGCCTTATCACAGTTTATTTACATTAATATCTTTAAAATTTGTCTGATATATATGGAGTTAGGTGCTCAGAAAATTTATCATAATACTTATTAATATTAATATTATTAATATTATTTGCAGAGTATTTACTGATTTTAAACAAGCATTTGTGGTTTGGAGATATATTATTCTATTGGTAATAAGAATGCAAAAATTATTCTATTTGAGCAACTTTTGACTAGCAAAGGTATAGAAAATGAATCAAACGTTAATTCAATTTATAAGGGGAATAACCCCAACAAGTGTATGTGATACAATTCTCCAATTTAATGTCAAAAGTCCATGTTAAAGACTTTGAATATTTTCATATTTGGACTGTTTTTTAATTGGTTTATGCACCTTAAAACCATAAAATTTCAAAGCCAACATTTAGACCGTGTTCATCGATAACTTTTTGAGTAGGTTTTAGCGTCTTAACCAATCATGAAATACACATTATTTTTTTTATTATAGACGTTATTTTTTATAGTGTTCAATAATATAGTATTTGAATTGATTTTTAGAGGTTAATGTAGCGTTTTATAAAAAATTAACTTATGTGACATTTAACTTTTAGAATCTTATAAAAGTTTATTCAAATAACTAACAGTTAAATGCTATTAAAACATCTAATAACTATCAAAACAATTAATTTTATCGGACATATCCTTAATTGTTTAGTGCATCCATTGACTTGCAAATAGTTTTTGAAGCTACTCACCCGGGCTTAGGAAGGAACATTCACACCCTCAAATCTTAATAATAATAATTAGTTTGGGATGACTAACTATTATTATTATTATTATTATTATTATTATTTGGTTGTTAAAATATAGTTCAAGGCATTTAACCTTCAATTTCATTAATTTTCAATGACTAATCATTAAATTTAAATTGATAAGCAAATGGTCAAATAGCGAAGGATAGGTTTAATTACTTTTCCGGTAATGAACTGTCCTTTAATGGATTTGTGATTATAATTATTATTTATTATATAGTAAATACACCCTTCGTAACATCCCTGACAAAAAAAAAAAAAAAAAATCGTAACATCCCTGACAAAAAAAAAAAAAAAACTAATAAAATAATTTTAGCAAATCTTCTTTCATAAAAAAAAAAAAAAAAAACTAATAAAATAATTTAGCAAATCTTCTTCATTGAAAAAGAAAGGGAGTTGGAAGTACCTCCCTAGCCACTTCAGTCAAAATATTAAATATATTGTTGTTATAATAATTAAATATTTATTTAAAATGTTCAAAAATATGTATATTATAATGAAAAAAAAAACATATTCTTAAACTAGTAATTTAATTATTGAATACCTATTTCATAATAAGGAAAATAAATTTCCAAAATGATTGAGGTAATAAAGAAAAAAAAAATGTTACTTATCCAAAAATAGTTGAGAACTCATAAATAAAATTTTTTCCTAATTATAAAAGGAATCCCAAAAAAATAAAAAGGGAAGAAAAATCTCCTAGAAGTTTCCACATAAGATGAATGTAGTTCTTTTTTGCTTTATGTTGAAGATGCTCAAATAAATATGAACCTTTCCCTCTTTTTCCCCTCTCCTCTTCATAATCTAATTAACCAATAATAATCTCTCATTCTCCAATCTATGTATACAAATATAATTTTTGTTTCCATAGAAACCCAAAAGCCAAAAGCCAAAAGCCATTGAAAATTTGTCACATATTGCCAATTAGGCATTTGGCTCTCCACAAAAATACAAAACTGCTGTCAAACTTTGCAAACTCAGTTTCCAAATAATAACAAAAAGAAAAGATAATTATTCTTCACTTCTATCTACAATTCAAAATCCAAAACTTCTAATTCTATTATTATACACTTATCATAAGCTAAAGATTTGGACATCCAAAACCTTTTAATTCCAAACATACAAGTATAGGTAACTGTAGTATCAACACGGTACTATCACAATCCAATTATAAACTCTCATATAATAAAAAAGGTTGTCCATAACTATATTTTTTTATAGCGTTTAAATTAATTTTTAGAGATTAAGATAATAAAGTTAATTCATGTAGCATTTAACTTTTAATGTTGTATGAAAAACTATTCAAATAACTAATAACTAAACACAATTAAAATAATTATTTTTATCGAATAAATCCAAAATAAAATTAATTTATTTAATGAATAAATTACACTGTATTTGAAATGTTAACTTATTTAACCATAAATACATTCAAAGTAAAAATACTAATTAAATTTTAATTATAAATTGTTTGGGATCAGCTAATATGAATTTTTTGTTTTTATTCTAATTTATTCATAGCTAAATTTGCATGACTGCCAAGAAATTATTGATATTTTAGGACAGTTCTTTTTCACGTGATTTTTAAAAATATTATGCTTATTAATGATAAGTAATTATTTTTAATCTATTTCTGCGTGGTATGTATATAGTATTTAAAAAATAAAAAAATTAAAATTGATGCAAATGTTATTAATTTCTTTTTTTTAACCTAAGCAAGTAGTACTTTTTTTTTTTCGGTTCGAAACTAACCAAGTAAGTACCAGTTGAAAATTTAATTATTTTTATTTGAAGAGAATCTAATCTAGGATCGGAAGATATGAAAAAGAAAGTAAAAGCTAGTCTCTGGGCCTAAGATGTCATTTCAGAGAAAGTATAGGGACAAGTATGTAAATGCGCCGAAATTATTAAGAAAACTGGTAAGTTTGTCGGTTTGCGTGCAGATGAAACTGCTCTCTCTCTCTCTCTCTCTCTCTTCTTTTTTTTTTTTTTCCCTCACACTGCTTTCTCTTCTCTCTCTCCTCTCTCTCTCTTTCTTTTTTTTTTTTTTCCCTCACACTGCTTCAATCTCAGACAGATCACTCACTGTCACCTCTCTCTCTCTCTCTCTTTAATATTTCTATTGAAACCTTTCTCCATTTTCTCTCTATAGACTGTTTCGAGAAGTCATGGTAATTAGGGTTGCTCTCTCTCTCCCCATTTCTCCTCTTCTTGACTATCCTCAAGCTTCTTCTTTCTAATGCCACACCCAATTGGGCTCTCTTGTTGCCGAGAGAGCTAGCTTTAGCTTGTTCTGGTTTCTGTTCTCTTTAGATTTGAGATCAACGCAAAACAGAAGCAAAAAAGAAGCTGTTTTTTTGTTTTTTAGAGAGAGAGAGGGGGAAATTTGAAGAGGAAAAATTTGGTTCGAGTTTGGATTTTTTAAAATTTTGAAGCTTGTTTGGTTTGAATTTTTTTTTCTTCTTTTGGGTTAAAAAGGAATGATGGGTTTTTGAGAGATTGGTGAACAAAATAAGGGGAGAGAAGAAAGGTTTAATTTTGTAACAAGAATACATACAGATTTTCTGTGTCTGTATATATCTTAGCCTTTGGCCTTAACTCTGCAAAACCCAACTTCATTTGGCTTTTACCTTACTCTCCAATTCTTACCCTTTTCTTTTTAAAGTCTCAAGATTCTTTGTTAAGCTAAAAAATCTCTCTTTCTCTCTATCAAATACAAACAAAGACAGAAACACACATCTTTAAAGGAACGGACTTTACTAAGAACGAAAAAGAATCTTAACCCATAAGCCCCATAAAAAAAGAGGAACAAAATCCCAGAACAACTGCCGCTTCTCTCTCCTTTTCTAGCTGTTTGTTTTGTTTGGTTATTTAGTTTGGTGGATTTTGGAGTTTTTATTTTTTTTCCTGTGGTGGAAATGGCGATGGCGGTGGCGCACAGAGAGAGCAGTAGTGGAAGCATAAATAAACACCTTACTGATAGTGGAAAGTATGTCCGGTACACGGCGGAGCAAGTGGAGGCGCTTGAAAGAGTATACTCTGAGTGCCCTAAGCCTAGCTCCTTGCGAAGGCAACAGTTGATCAGAGAGTGCCCCATTTTGGCTAATATCGAGCCCAAGCAGATCAAAGTCTGGTTTCAAAATCGCAGGTGAAGATTAGTGGATATAATTTAAAGTGAAATTTATAGATTGCTTTTGTTTTTCTAGTCACTTCGGTTGCTGAATTATTATATAATCAAATTTTGGAGTGCTTGATTGATGGCTCTTTTTAAGTCCTAGATTATATCTCTTTGATATATCAAATACATTAGAGTTTGGTCATAATTTTTTTTTGGTTCCAAGGAAGAGTTTTTTCTTCTCTTATTTGGGAAATGTTAACTTAAGCTAATATTAGTTTCATTTCACAAGCTTTAGAAATTTAAGTACAAATATCGCTGAATGAGGTTGTGAGCTTGAGCAGAGGCTGATTGTGTCTAGATAGAGTACTAGCTGTATGAAATGCAGCTATGCCTATAATTTCTGATCCCAGATTGCTTACTTTGACTATCAGTTGTGTTTTCTCAATTAGATTTTTTTTTTGGGTGAAGTTATAGTTGGCATGAAAAAAAAAAAAAAAACAAATTTGATACTAAGCCAAATCTGTTCAGAGATGAATTGGATTTTTCCTGGAAGCTAATAACTAAAAAATAGTGTTTGGCTGTGCAGGTGTCGGGAGAAGCAAAGAAAAGAAGCTTCAAGACTCCAGACTGTGAACAGAAAATTGACAGCAATGAATAAACTGTTAATGGAGGAGAATGATCGCCTTCAGAAACAGGTGTCCCAGCTAGTATGTGAGAATGGGTACATGCGGCAACAATTGCAAACTGTAAGTTGTTTGTATCTTTATAGTGTCCACTTGTCATGCTTGCTGATCTTCTTCATCGAATATTTAGTCACGGACTTAAAAAGTGTGAAATGTGCATTTAATATGACTTAATTTGTCGATTCTGTTATGGATGGAATCGAATATTCGAGTGAGGCCCTAGAAATAATTCTATATAGCTAGTCTTTTAAACATGGATTAACATGTGGCACAAAAGTCTCAAGCTTTACATTCCATTTGTTTCATTAGTTTATGTTATATTTTTATGTAGGCTAAAGTGCACTCCTGTTTTATATCCTGATTTACTTTCATAGGCTTTCTATATTTGCTCAAGTTATTGTTTTGGCATTTCAATCCCCTCCAACAGTATGCTAATTAAGTTCCAGGGATTTAGTTTTTTTAACTCCTCTGCACTTTTTCTTTAATATATATGGACATTATTCCTAAATTGATTCTTCTGCAGGCCCCAGCAGCAACTGATGCAAGTTGTGACTCTGTTGTTACCACTCCTCAGAATACAATGAGAGATGCCAATAACCCTGCTGGGTAATCTTGTTGACCTCTACATGTGACATCTGTGTGTGTCTCTCTGCTTGCTAGTAACTAAGATCAATTTTATTTCTTGTCTTCTTTGGCAGACTCCTCTCCATTGCAGAGGAGACGTTGGCAGAGTTCCTTTCAAAGGCTACAGGAACTGCTGTCGATTGGGTCCAGATGCCTGGGATGAAGGTTTTTCACTTTCTTCTGTGTTTCATTTTGCTTTCTGTCAATCAATTTTCTTTTACATGCCCTTCATGATAATGAGGCTTGTCTGAAAGAATCATTCTTTGACAGCCTGGTCCGGATTCGGTTGGGATCTTTGCCATTTCGCAAAGTTGCAGTGGAGTGGCAGCTCGAGCTTGCGGTCTTGTAAGCTTAGAACCTACAAAGGCACGTATATGGATGTCATGAATATTTCAAGATGTTTCTGCTGTTTGTGCTGGATATTTGTCTTATCATTTGTTAGTACAGATTGCAGAGATCCTTAAAGATCGCCCATCTTGGTTCCGGGATTGTAGGAGCCTTGAAGTTTTCACCATGTTTCCTGCGGGGAATGGTGGAACTATTGAACTAGTATACAGTCAGGTAAACACCCATGGTTAGAGATCTTGACTTCTGCTGATGTTTATGCATATTTACTTCCTTTTAAAGCAACTATCCAAAAATTGCTTCAGATATATGCTCCAACTACTCTGGCTCCTGCACGGGATTTCTGGACTCTGAGATATACTACAAGCTTAGACAATGGCAGTCTTGTGGTATGCATGTCTTTTACACACTGTGATTTACTCTTAAATGCATAATTGACTTTTGACATGTATATCGAATAGATAACTCTAACTTTAAATTTTGGAGATCAACGGCTTCTATTATTTATATATCTAATTATCTAGATTGTCTATATTTTAAGGTCTGTGAGAGATCTCTTTCTGGTTCCGGTGCTGGTCCAAATGCAGCAGCTGCTTCTCAGTTTGTGAGGGCTGAAATACTTCCCAGTGGCTATTTGATAAGGCCATGTGAGGGTGGAGGGTCAATTATCCATATAGTGGATCACCTGAATCTTGAGGTATAATTTTTGAAAATGGTGTGCTAAATTAATGTCTAAACAAAAGTTGATTTTCTTACTTCACATTACTTTCAGGCTTGGAGCGTTCCTGAGGTGTTGAGGCCTCTTTATGAATCATCAAAAGTAGTGGCACAGAAAATCACAATTGCGGTGAGTTGATTTAGCTTGCTGGACATCATATTGGCTTAATTTTTGAGGTTTGGTTCCTTAAGAAAGAGAGCATGCGTGATTTGTGGTATTCCACCTTCTTCAAACAAATTCCATGTGAATCTTATGGTTTTAAGTCTACATAGCAAACCCAATGAGTATCTAACCCTTCCTAATCAATTTTTTTTTCTGTTTTTTAGTATTCATGGTTAAAGGATAGGTATTGAGCAATTATAGGCATGCTAAGTTGCCAGGATGAAAATTATGACTTGTATTGAGATTAGGCATATACTCCTTTTTGTATACACTTTTTTTTGTCCTCTGTTTTTATTTTGAGAAAAGTAGAAATTTCCACCCAGGCATACGTTTTTTTTTTATTAATCTATTGGTATGCCATAATATGGAGTCAAGTTTTAGCTTTCATTGTCTTTTCTCCTTCCCTCCTTCCACCCCTTTACATGCATTTTTGGCTAAGGCATGTGACAAGTTTCAATACAGCCTGTTCTCCCCAGTTTCCCTATTCCTGTGAGGGTACTAATTAATTTGTTTCTTTGAAGGCATTACGTTATATAAGGCAAATAGCTCAGGAGACCAGTGGTGAGGTGGTGTATGGCTTAGGCAGGCAACCAGCTGTTTTGAGAACTTTTAGCCAAAGGTTAAGCAGGTATATCATGTTTTTGTTTGTCAATTTCTTCTCAATTCAGGAGCCTTTATTTTGTGAATACAAAACTGATGTTGAGTGCTCTCGTTCTGTTGCATTTTCTATAGAGGCTTTAATGATGCTATCAATGGTTTTAATGATGATGGCTGGTCACTGATGAGTTGTGATGGCGCTGAAGATGTAATAATTGCTGTTAATTCAACCAAGAACTTGGGCATTAGTACTAATCCTGCTAATTCTCTTTCATTCCTTGGAGGGATTCTCTGTGCAAAAGCTTCCATGTTACTTCAAGTAAGTTATGAAACTACTGTTGCGAATTTCATTGTGGCCTGATTATCGCGACTGCATTTCTAGGAAGTCTAAATAAGAAAATAGGCTAATGTTTTTCCTCTCTTTTCTTTGTCCTGCAAATTTTCTCTGGCACATGGTATTTATCTTACTCATATCAAAACTATGATTTGTATTCAGAAGAAAAATTCGGAATGAAATTGGTGTCTCTCTTTTTTATTTTTTTTCTGTCAGTTTATTTTTCATTTACTTTCCTGCTACTCTTAACAATTTTATATCATGTTTCAGTCTCAAATATCTATAAAGTCAAACCTTTATTTCTCCGTTGCTTTTGTGCAAAATATACCGGGAACTTGGATAAACAGTTCTAATGAAAACTTGGAACTCGAAGTAATCAAGCATGCTTAAACGAAAGGATATTACTGTAGTATATCCTTGGGTTCAGAACTGATTAAATTTCTGTATGCCCTCGTTCATGCTAGAATGTTCCTCCTGCTGTTCTCGTTCGCTTCCTAAGAGAGCACCGTTCCGAATGGGCTGATTTTAATGTTGATGCCTATTCTGCTGCATCATTGAAAGCTGGTTCATATGCATTTCCTGGAATGAGGCCCACAAGGTTCACTGGGAGCCAAATCATTATGCCACTTGGCCACACAATTGAACATGAAGAAGTATGTAGTTCTTGTTACATTATATTTTTTAGTGTAATGTGATAAGTGTAAATGTCGTGTCATTACAATTTTCATACATTCACGTCTTGTGCTTAAACTGTTTTAGTTACTTGAAGTAATTCGACTGGAAGGCCATTCTCTTGCACAAGAAGATGCTTTTGTTTCAAGGGACATTCATCTTTTACAGGTATTATTATTAGTAGTATGTCATAGGCATTGTTTTTCTGTGATTGTAGCCATTAGCCAGTTTTATTTCCCTGGTTTACTTGACTTTGTATGTCAATTGGGGTCAAATGCTTCTCAATTCCCATCTCACATGTTTTTTAACAGGTTCAATGTTAGACTTGTTTATTTTTTGTTGAGGAAGTTAGGTCAAAGGATCTAGGTTCATTTTTTTACCCTTGGACTATTATGAAGGGTTTGTTGAATATGTTTCCTCCATAGTTTACCAGAACTGATTTATGGGGAATTCTTGAGGTACTATTTGTTGCGCTGGCTTGGTCATCCTCAGAGGCCTAGTGATTTTGCTGTAACCATTTGCATGTGCCTTAACTGCTTTCCATTTTCATTCTTTTGGACAGATATGCAGTGGTATTGATGAGAATGCTGTTGGTGCCTGTTCAGAACTTGTTTTTGCTCCAATTGATGAAATGTTTCCTGATGATGCTCCACTATTACCTTCTGGTTTCCGCATCATTCCTTTAGATTCAAAAACAGTTAAGTCAGATTGATGAATCTTTCTTTTTTCCTTCTTACGTTGCATATGCTTGTTCCATGGTTGTTCCTTGTTAAGTTGATGTAATTGTTGAAATAAACAAGAGGTTAGGCTTTAGTTTTCAGTCCAAAATTCCACTTTCAATTTTAAGCAACCATATAAAATTCTTTATATTGATGGAGCTCATAAGCTGTACCACTTGGAAAGAAGAAGTGTCCTGAGTTAGGGTTATACAGTATGTTTGTATCTATGTTTAACTTTTTTTTTTCTCTAGTCTACTTACTGGTGTCATTCTACAGAAGGATACACAGGATGCATTAAATACTTCTCGCACCTTGGATCTTACATCTAGCCTTGAAGTGGGACCTGCAACAAATCATGTTTCAGGAGATGCTTCATCATCTCATATTACGCGATCAGTGTTGACTATTGCCTTCCAGTTCCCCTTTGAGAGCAATTTACAGGATAATGTTGCCACCATGGCTCGTCAATATGTCCGTAGTGTGATTTCTTCTGTTCAGAGGGTTGCCATGGCCATATCTCCTTCAGGATTGAGCCCAGCTATAGGACCTAAGTTGTCCCCTGGTTCCCCTGAAGCTCTTACATTAGCTCACTGGATCTGCCAAAGTTACAGGTAAGTTCTGCTTGAATCTTTTTTATCATGTATGTAGTAGAAATTATAATATTTTTCAGTGACAACTGAGATTTTCTTTTTTGTATATTTTCCTGTCTTGCTGAACTATCAAGCTGGACATCTTCCATAATTTATAAGGGTTTGACAGAATTTTGTCTTCAGTTTCTATTTAGGGGCAGACTTGCTGAGGTCAGATTCTCTTGGGGGAGATTCAGTGTTGAAACATCTATGGCAACATCAAGATGCCATTTTATGTTGTTCTTTGAAGGTACATTTACGTTCATTAAAAAACATATGTGCTACAATCATTATCATGACTTTTTGAGTAAATTACTTCATAATCTTATCTAGAACATTTTTATTAATCCTTATTTTGTTTTCCTGATGTTGTTGTAGTCGTTGCCGGTTTTCATCTTTGCAAATCAAGCTGGGCTAGACATGCTCGAGACAACTCTAGTGGCTCTACAAGACATCACATTGGATAAGATATTTGATGAATCTGGACGCAAGGCACTATGTGCAGATTTTGCAAAGTTAATGCAACAGGTAATTTTAATGTGGAAATGTTATATGCTACTGCAGTCTGGCTGATTGTATATTGTGCCTTTTGTATTAAGAAATAATTAAAATTTGACATTCAACCTTTGATGAGCCATGAACATTTATTACGGAATTAAAGTTTGTGTCTGAAACGGGTGGTTGCTAAAAGCCTACTGATTGTTTAAGCCTGAACCATAAGTTAGTCCCTCTCAGAAATCCTAGGGAAAGTACTTGAATTATGCTGTTATTTGGATGTCCTAATTCATTAAATTTTATGGTTAATTTCAGGGATTTGCTTACTTACCGGGTGGAATCTGCATGTCTACAATGGGGCGTCACGTCTCATATGAGCAAGCCGTTGCTTGGAAGGTCTTAGCTGCAGATGAGAACACAGTTCATTGTCTTGCATTCTCCTTTGTAAACTGGTCTTTTGTGTGATGATATTTCATTCACTTAATGCCATCCTCTACTTCTCCACCTCCCAGAGTTGAATATGCAAAAAGAAATGGTTGGAGAATCTTGAAAATCAGGGTAAAAAAAAAAAGGAAAAGTTTTGTAATATTTAAACCCAAGCTCCAGGTTTGCATTATATTAATTTAATTAATTTTTATTTAGTGCACTCAGATTTTGCCTTATCCATGTACATATATGGTGTGAAAGTTTCTTTGCCTTTTTCAGGTTATTGTTGAAACTTTAAACAGAAACTAGCAAAAGGATTCTGCATTCTTTTTTCTTTTTTTCGCATTCTTTTTTAGCATTCAATCCTTGTTTTAGGAGTTGTAGACAAACAAGGGGTCACGAGCTCTATGTTTAGCCTTTTTCTGCTCTGCTGCAAATATTTTCCAGGATTTCATCGAAATGTGTGGATATTTATTTGACCTCCAATGCTATTTACTACCCTTTAAATTGCATTTGCTAGTACTTGCATGGATTTTTCCTTGCCACCAAGATTTGTATTTATGAGGTCTTTAATTGTTGCACTGTTGCTGTTTTAAGTATTTTGTACCTACAATGCAAGCTTTTGTTTTTGCATTTCAAGAATTCTTGCAAATTTCTTTCCTTCCATACATTTGAGTATATAATAGGTCTTTGTCGTGTGTTTTTAATTACTGACATTAAATATATAAATTATTGAATAGATAAAAAATCTGCTCGTGAGAAAGTGAAGAGTTGGGAATTTTCTGATTATTTTTATTGGAGAATAGCATAAATTCACCATTTACTCTACCTTGTAAAGTACTTTACAGATTTTTTCCATTGGATAGTTCAATTTGTTAAGTTACGGATAATTATAAAAAATACTATACCAAAAATTATGGCAACTATTCATCAAATTAATATTTTGTATATACAAGTCAAAAAAATTTATTATTATTAATGTGAAAATGTGTGTAATATTATTAAAATTCATAATTTTAAAGGCATAAATAAGTTCCCGTGGAATGAAATTATTTCCTTCTCCTTGGTCTATTTCCTTCTACTTTTCTTCTCAAATTCAAAGTTGGAATTGTTTTGCTTCCCCTTTCTTTTCTTATTTTACTTTTTTTTTATTAAATGCGAAATTAATTTTGCCTGTCATAGAGGAGATTTCTTTTTCTTAGGATTATTCTTTTTCTTATTTACCATTAATGTCTTTTATTTTTATATTTTATAAAGCTCTATGATATGTCAATATATGTAAGAGAATTTTATCGTTTGAACATATGTTCTTCAAATGTAATTTCTATTGAGTTTTTTATGAATCTGTCAAAGTGTTTAACACCTGTACAAAGTTAAAATTATTTTGGCCAATACAATATTTGTATTTCATATGAATGTTTGTTTAATTAATTAATAATTTTTTTTCCTTCTGTCATGAAGGAGTTACAAAACAATTAATATTTTGAGTTAAATCTTTTTATTTTTATTTTTTGAAGGAGATATTACTGCCATTCCATTAACGATAACTGCAAAACAAAATCAGGGGGATGGATTAACCATTCACCCAAGCTGCCAAAGAACGGATTGCTCTAGCTAATTTTTTTATTTTGTATTTTAATATGTATAGTCTAATGAAAACTCCATATGTAACCTTCAATAAATTCAAAATTTACATTTATTTTCATAATGTAAAAAAATATTTTATTTTTGGTGCTTGTATATATAATTAAAATAAAATGAAGGCAAATACATTTTAGTTCTTAAAATTTAATAAGAAAAATATTGTGGCATCTTAAACTTTAAAATCGACTTTATGATATTTTAAAGTTCACTTTTGGTAATAATCTCACAACTTGTCATACTAGCAATAATAATTTTTAGAGATTTTTACTTTTATGTATAAGATATAGATTTGATATGTGTTTAATATAACTTTTTAAGTAATAATTTTTATATTTTTTTTAACTATTCAATAAGTGTATAATGGATTTACAAGTTAGAGTATTAATGCGTCAAGTAAAGTATTTAATATATGCAATTTCATACTAATTCTGTTCCATAATACTTGTCACATTTGAAAAAATAGTTTGTTCCAAAATACTTGTCACATTTGTGGTTTTAAAAAATAATAAATCTCATTTTTTTCCATATTTACCTTTTGTTATGACCAATAATTATGACTTCAATTTAATGATTCTTTTTAAAGAATTAGTATTAAATTAAGAGTAATATAGTGAATTTACTCAATAATTTATTCTAACTTATACAAATTTAATAATTTTCTTAAGAGACGTGAAATTCTAAATATGATAAGTGTTATGGAATAGAGGTAATAAATTAAAGTATTTAATAGGTCAAAATAAAAGTTGAGGTGACATAAGGTTTTTAGTGAAAAGTACGAAGGTGAATTTATATATTAAGCATAAAATAAATGTAGTATGTAAATGAATTTGGGATGTACGGCTATGTGTATATCATTTTAATTTAAGTTCGCTAGTTGAAGTGCCGAGGCTTAGGTGTTGGGAAAATCGCTATTTTTCCGCCTTTCGGATTGGTTTCAAAATAAAATAATGACTGAGAAATTAAAGAGAATAAATAACACGATAATCAAGAAAAATATTCACTATGCGGCAAATTGTTACAACCACAATTACAAAATATTTTTCTACCTGACACCCTCAAAACACCCAAATATTTTATACTCCAAGGGACTCCAAAAGAATTGCTTTAAATCCCTAATATAAAACACATTCAAGTGTTTTTGGTGTGTTTAGAAACTTAAACCCTGGCTTCCTTTTATAGCCAATCCACCACTCTCACATGCTCTTCTCTCCGATATGGGATTGAGCAAAACTAAATCCCACATCGGGGAGAAGAGCATGTGAGGGTGGTAGATTGGTTATAAAAGGAAGTCAATGTTTAGGTTTCTAAACACACCAAAAACACTTGAATGTGTTTATATTAGGGATTTAAAACAAGTTTTTTGAAATCCCTTGGAGTATAAAATAAACCTAAACTTTGGCTTCCTTTTATAGCCAATCCACCGCCTTCACATGCTTTTCTCCCCGATGTGGGATTGAGCAAAATTTAATTTTTTTTTTTTTTTTTCAACAAAGGAGGCTAACATTAGGCCTATGCAAATGGTTTTATTACTCCTTTCAATGATATTTTAAAAGTGTTTAGTCACTTTCAAATCATTACATTATTTCTACATTTTATGCAGACAGGGAACGTTTTTTTTTTTTTTCTCTCTCTCTCTCTTTTGAGGGAAACGTGTGTTTAATATGGTTAATTTTAAGTTTCAAACTCTTAATCCTTTTAACGACATCCAACAGGGAAGAAATTACAAAATATGCATATTTTGTTATTGTCTTTATATATAGATACATAGATAATATGCATCAACGATCAGAAGATGGTTTGTCATCAGGATGAATGGTATTTGTATTAAGATCATGAAGATATTTTGTTATTGTCTTCACAATCACTTGATCAAAGCTTTCGCGCTCAAGTACAGACCCATTCCCACCATTGTTGTTACCTCTGCACTTCTGCAACCAAATCAAATAGATTAATCTCATTCATTGCAAGTTTTAAGTATTACAACTAATTAAATTGTTCTATTATAAGATAATTATTCAATGAAGTGAATACAGTTTTCCTCCTAGGGTCCATTGATTCTGTAAGCTCATCAAGCAGTATCACCTGTTATAAGATCCAACTTAGTTAGCTCCATTGTAAAAGTAAACATGATTTGCCATGAAGGTAATGAAAATAATTCAGTGATTGAATATATAAAATTTGACGGTTAAGTAAAATTATATAGATAAAATCAATGAACTTCGACTTGAAGTCATTGTTAGGAGTATGAAGTTGTACAATATAAATAAAAAGGAAAATATAAATATACCTGTTTGACAATCTCTTCATACTTGTTGAAACAATTATAGAGTCTAGCATCATCATCTTGCCTAGACATTTTTGAAAGTAGTTAAATGTAAGAATGATAGGGTGGATGGAGGTGTATATATAATAAGAAGAGAGCACGTGATCAATGAAGCTGAGACTAGAAATGGACACGACAGGTTGCTTAGGTTTCAATTTATAACCGTTAGTAACGAAACCTATTGGGAGAATATAAAAAAGGAAGAGCAAAGACAAACTAAGCGTTAGCTACTTCCTTTCTTCTTTGTTACTTCTCCTAGTATGACTCTCGTGCCGAGCGAGATGTCCGTACGTTAAGCTAGTCAAACCTTCTTCTTATAGTCCTGAGAGACATAAATATTAAGGGATCACACATTTGCAAAAAGTTTAAGATATATAATATATTTTTTCTAACCAACAGCTGGTTGGATTAGAAAAAGGCATTAACTTGGGTTTCATCCAACCATGCAATAGATCCATTCCAAAAGGGTAAAGACGACATTTCATTTAGCTGATTCATTTATGCAATTGTTAGCTGATTCACGAACAGTTACGTTGCAAGTGTTAAACAATTTTTTTAGATGGTATGTGTTAGATAAATTTTTTAATCAATAGCTTATTACGACAAAAGGCCATTCAATCGCTGTTTTTTTTTTTCTTTGAAAAACAAAAAAAAATAAAATAAAATAAAAATAAAGAACTAAGGGATGTAAGCTACACTAGCTACATCTTGAGCCATCGAAAGACAAAGCACATGAAATCCTAAAGAAAGCAATCACTATATATATGATCAAGCAAGATGTTTCACATAAATATCAAACTTAAAAACAATAAAAAAAATATTTTTACATTCATAAACAATCACTATTAATTTAATTATCTCTAACACCCCTTCCATGTAATATTACTAAGCAAAAATAAATTAAAAATCTGATTAATAAATGGTTAAATTGTAATCTATTTATCTAATCCGTGTTTGTGTATGCACATACCCTTAACCTTCCAACAAGATGCGTAAACGTTACATATAAGCATCTTCTACAGTTAGACTGCATCCCCTCACCTAAACCTTCCTTCAAGAAGTGTTTGAGCATCACATGAGCATTCACAGAATGGAATTGGTTTAGATAGAAACAACCCATCCTTCCATTCTTCAAGAGCTAGTGTAAACTCATGCCATTCAATATGCGAGTTACGGACGTCAGTAAAAGCATCAAAACGACACCGCAAATTGCTTACCATAACCAAATCCAATACACTCAACTTCAACTGCCAAACGCTGATAGTAGTTGTCCAGTTATTATATGTATATACCCAGAACAAAGATAAATGAGCATTCAGCCAAAAAGCATAGCCATCACTAACACGCAACTTCACAAATATCGTTCCAGGCAATATTTTGTGGCTAATTTTCCATGTATTATCATCCATAATACATCTATATGATAATTTTGTTTTAGCCACGCAGGCCAGGTGCCTTCTCAACAAAACTGGAGCCTGGAAGGATAACCGACAAGAGAGAAAAACACATTCTTCAAATGGCATACTGTTTCATTTCAGAAATCCTTCTTTGGACGTCTAAATTTTAAGTGACAAACGAACTGATTTCTTCAGTAATAGACAATGGACTGTGTACTACAAATAAACCTCTGAATATTTACGTTGCAATCCTAATTTACAAAAACATTCACAAATTAAGGAAGAGAACCAAGTTCCGTGTTTGAGGATTGGAGTACACAACAGGCAAAAGAGATCAAACAAGAACATGTATTGGGTTGCTGTCACAAATGGCTGGTGTCATCAATCTTTTTTTTTTTTTTTTTTAATTCCCACGACATCAATAAGATAAAGAGCCAATTCAGCCAAAAAGCATTTAGCCAATCACTTAACATCGCAACTTTCACAATATCGTTCTCCAGGGCAATATCTTCGGCTAATTTCCATGTATTTATCCCAATCCATATTAATTATTTCATTCATATATGATAATTTTTGTTTTTAGCCACTCGGCTAGCCTATTCCTTGCTCCAACAAAACTGGAGCCTGGAAGGTAGTAACCGACAGACAGAGAAAAAACACATCTCCTTCCATAATGGCATACTGCGTTTCTATTTTCCATGATAATCTTAACCTTTCTTCTTGGACGTCCTTAAATTATTAAGTCACCAAAACGAGTACTGATTTCTTCTTTCACTCTTGTTTATTAGACAATGACTGTGTACTACCAAATAAACTCTGTGATATTTACGTTTGCCAACCTTTAATTTGACAGGATATTAAACATACATCTCAAATTTAATGGAAAAAAGATACACTCAAAGTTTGCCTGCTCATGATTAGATGCAGGATTGGAGTAATACACAACAGGTGCAACAAGAGATCAAACAAGAACAGTATTGGTGCTGTCACAAATGGCTCGGGTTAGAGTGTCATCAATCTTTTTTTTTTTTTCTTTTTTTTTTTTTTTTTTAATTTTACAGTTGTTTTTCCTTTTCTCATCTTGATGCCAGTGACCAAAAGTTCAGGAGAAAAGATGGTAATGCAGTGAACCAGCTAATGAAAGCCATGGCTGTAGCAGTTTCAAACTGCACACAGTGATTATCAGAACAGCTATCAAGATCATTATCAATAAGGACAGTGATGCCAGCAGAAGCACAAGCCGCAGCAAATGTAAGAGTCGATGTAATCTGCATGGCAATAGGCACGCAATTAAAACACAAGATGTCAAGAAGAAGTACAAACTTCCATTGAGAAAACTAACAAGTTATAAACACACGGCTACCAAATGTATAGAAGTGAAGAAAAGCAAATTGGTGCTTTCATCACCCTCCATGTTCAGTACTAAAGACGTTGGATTTGTTCATATTCTGGGACTCAAGTTAACAACAAGAACAAACATGATAGAGAAAATCTCTGAGCAATATCAAGTCAGCTTTTTAATTTCGCAGTAATAGATGGAATGAACATGGTGTAGACACATCTACAACTGGAACAAGATCAAAATTTTGCTTGATCATATTTTTCTTAACTTTAGACAACTAACGGTCAAAGGCACTGATACATGTAGGGCTATGAATCTCAATACGTGACTTCTTGCTTAGAACGCAGCCCAAAACAACCAGTTATCTAAGAATAATGAGTACCTCAAATCTCAATTGAGCACCAGATGACTATTTCTAGTAAAAGAACTTACATCTGACAAAATTCTAAGCAAAGCCTTCTTCATGACATGGACAAAATTATAGGCAGACATAATCTGGTCCAAGTCAATTTAGACTTGATTCTAGTCTGCATATTAGTGAGATCCTATTTGCTGATTTTTTCTGCTATATATCAGATTCAACTCCCCAATGCAAAACAATAGATAGTGATTTTAGAAAAGGTAAAAAGTTGATGGTTAGAATGCAAGTAATGAAAATAGTATCTTTGGCTCTGAAAGTGGAAATCATAAATGAAAAAGAAATGATTGGATAGCAAAATAATAAAGAAATGCCGCATTTGACTGTAAAAGTCCAATAATAAGTGCTGGGTCCATGAGTGGAATCTAGCATTCAAAGTGCCTACACTACTAACTAGAATAACTGCTAAATACAAGCCAGACCAAAAATACTGATTCCAGCAGCCTATTATACCACTGAAGTAAGCAGAATGCACAAGATAACAGATCCTATTTTTTGTATTCAGTATTGTCTTACCCCATCACCAACAGCGAATAAGCTGACAATTCGATAATTCTGCAAGGAGCGCATCACCAAGAGAGCATAAATGTCGACAATAGCTACGCTAATGCTCCATAAAAACTGCAAACCAGCAGCTGCGACGAGGTAGCTGGATAACATACATCAGATATATTTTGATGTCACGAAAGAGTCAGCAACATGATTTTATAACAAAATACAAAGATATTCAAGCATACAAACATAAAAGCACAGGATGCCATTTTATTGACTAAAATAACTTGCTCATCAGCATGCATGGCATCAAGACAACTAATTAGGCTTTCCGGTTATTTTTTCAGAATAGAGGGAATGATTGAAGCACAAACCACCCATTGCCATCACTAAGTAATGTAAAGCATATCATAAAGACTTTGCTAGAGTTTCATTGTGAACTAGTGTCATTGAGGTGTTTGATTTGCTCTCAAAATGTTATGAAATCAGACTAGGGTAGGAGATCCAATTGTACATAGTATTGGCATGGTTCAAATGCATAATAAACAGAGAATAGACCACGCCAGTACTCATTTATATAGTATCATTCAAAACTCTTGAGTACCAAAGTGAAGCTGGGTGTGGAAGCAGGGCCGGAATATCATCTGAGATATCAAAATGTGAAAAGTCTATCACATAATCCTTGAAGAGAATGAACCTACAAGAGAGCTGATGTCTTGTTCCCCTCTTTTAAACACAAAGAAATCAAAATGCTAAGGAAAACAGAACCTTAAACATCCTATAAAATTAATAATAACCTTAACACCTTATCCACACATGTTAAAAAAGTACTGCCACATACAATCCTTATTTAGAACAGCAAGAGATATTCACTTATTCTCATATCCAGATCATACTGGGATATAGATTGTTTATCAGTATACTTTACCAAATCATTATTATCATTATTCCTAACCAAATCATTTATAGCAAATCTCCAACCCAATTTCTAATGAAATTCTTCCAAATTACTACAGAAACCTGTGAAAGAGTAAAATTCATGAAGAACAGTGATGTTTACCAGAAAGCAGTAACGGAAGGGAAATCACTGGTGGTGGCCATAACAGCAAGAGCCGCAGCAGCGAAGATAAATTGAAAAACTCGCAAAGCGAGACCACCTTTCGTACCAGGCATGCCTTGTACATCCTTCATCCTCACTCTCGGAGCGTTGTTATTATTGTTTCCACCGTCGGTCGACGGAGGATCTTCCACAGGATGAACTGACGCATGGCTCACATTCATCTCTCTCTCTCTCTCCTTCTCTTTTTCTCACTTTAATTCATTTCCTTCTCTCTTTCTTTTTACTATTAACTCCTCCTCGCGAATTAATAATTACATATATGCAATTTCACTGCATTCAGGTAAAATCACAATCTAGAAAAATTTTTGATTCTCGGGAAACAAACAGAACCGAAGATCTGAAAGAATCGTACCTTTTTTACTACTAGTAAGACAAAGATTGAAATTGGCATGTGACGAAAATAGAAAGCTCTAAATTTCTGTGGGCGATTGCGTTGCGGCGGATCTCGATGGATCTACAGAGTCTACAAAACAGGTGTCTTCTGCTTCTTCTTCCTCTTTTACCTGAGAGAGAGATTAAGAAGAAGAGAACAGAAACACAGAAGCAAATGCGAGCAAAGGAAGCGTCAACCTGAGCTTGCAGAAGGGTCAACTGCTTGTTTGGATTTCACAGAGAGTTACTGCTACTCGCTGTTTTATTGGCTGCGTAGTGCGCGTGCAAGCCTTCTGTAAAACTTTTTTTCATTTGGCGAGCACTTTACGTTTTAGGTTAGGACATCGGTTTTTTATTTTATTTTTTCACTTTACTAAGATTTAATTATTGAGGCAAAAGATCATTGAAAATCTCTCTTGCTCTCTTATTAAGTACTCCCTCCAACCCACCACTTCTGTATTATAAGAAAACCTAGGTAAAGCGCGGCGCGGGTTAATTACTTTATTATTATATATTTTTTATTATTTAAATTTTAAAATTTAAATTGTATAATATTATTAAAATATTCATTTTTCCACAAATTTCATTATTGTTGTACATAATATTTTATAGTTTATAATTTATAGTTATAAATTGTATTCCATATATATTAAAAAGATTCGTTTATATATATATATTTTACGTTGTTTATATAATTTAATTAATATATATTATTAATGATGAAATATGAAGTGTTAATTTTTTGTATGTATCCTATTTATTCTTTAAGTTTAAATAGAATTAACTAATTAATTAATTAGTAACTGAATTTTTAAAAATTTTTAATCTAATACTTGAAAATAACTTTTATTTATAAAATTATTTAGTTTTTTTTTTTTGAAGATTATAAAATTATTTAGTTATATATTTAAAGTAGTAATTTACATATAAAAGAACTTGTAATTATGAATTAAATTTTAATTTTATTTGAATATATTTCAATTAATACTTGAGTATTGATATGTTTCTATTATCAAATAGATAATAAAATAAATATATAAATAGAGATTTTGAAATATATAATGGGTATCAGTATATAATTGAAACCAATCATTAGCAAGAGGGAGATTACTGGCTGTATCAAATTATATATATATATATATAATTATTCTGAAAAGCAGTTGTTACCTTATTGACATAGATTGTCGAATTCAAGAAATATAGGTAAGTGTACCGAAATACACTAACAGTAGATATTTGGCTCATCATTCTCACTTTCGTAATAATTTTGAATATCAAAAAATAAATATTTAACATATAAAAGCTAGTTAGGAGTTAGCTAAGTTTGGTAATTAATTCGCGAACTTCTCACTATGCACACTCCTACCGTTTACACCCATCAAGTTCCTTCAAACTCCTCAAGTTAAGGATGCTTTCTATCTCCGGCGAGGAATAGGTGAACTCTCCCATTAAATTCAACATAACAATAACCTGGTTCCTTTTTCAGCTTTCTCTTCCTCATCATCACTCTTGACTCTCAATATCAGCTTCCAAAATTTACACCTGATGTACCTTTATCTTTCTTAATTTCCAACTCTCATTCTCCCATAGCCATTTCTCTAACCCATTAAAGAAAACATTACTCGCTTAATTAGCTCCATAGGCTCTCTCTTCTAAGAAAAACTCTTACACCATCACATTGGAATTCCTCAATCGATTAAATTTTCCATTTTCTTATTTCTTTGATCAAAGTCCGTGCCGATCGAGGTGGTAGAAAAGGATGCAATTTGCCAATGGAGAATCGACTCATCTATTAATGGAGCTAATTAGATTGATAATAATGGTGTATTGGCAACGATAGCTTGAGGAACGACGTTAATACTGTTGTTGTCTATGGGAATTTGGAGAAGCTTTGGAGATTAGTGGAGACGTTGTTCTGTCTCTGAGCTTGATGGCCTCAATTACCCACCATGAGCTACACCCACCACCTGAAAGGAAGACGCCCATCCACAAAACACAATGAGAAGGAAGTGGCATTACAATTTTAGCGGATTCACGGAAAAGATCAAAAAAAGAATCTTTCTTTATGGTCTAATTAGATTGTGGATGAATATAGTAGTAAAAAACCATATCGCAAAATAAATTTTTAGATCAATATTATAAAGTTATATATGCAAGTGCAGAGAGATAGAGTGAGAAATAATACGAGAGGATACAAGTTTTCATCTTTTGTTTAAGCACAATCTTGAACATTATGGTACATCAATATCTATTTATCTATATATATCTATATATATATAAAAGCTCAACCTTCAAAGCTTGTGTAGTACAATTTTAGAATATTAGAGTGTTGACGTGACACAATACTAAAATAATTGCGAATTTGAAATTGATTTTTTTTATTTTAAGAGAATTATTTTTTTAATATAATTTATAGAGAACTTGAATTAATATCATTAAAATTTTTGAAAACTTTTTTACTTTCTTGTTTTTTTTTAATAATTTATAGTTTTTCATTAGTAAATTATATTATATAAAATTATGGTTCTTCAAAGCCTTCAAAGCTTGTTGTGAGTTCAATTTTAGAAATATTAGAAAGTGTTTGACGTTGAACAATACTAAAAATATTTTATTTGTCGTAATTTTGAATATTTTGATTTTTTTATTTTATAGAGAATTATTTTTTTTTTTTATATATTTTATATTATTTTTAAGTAGATTACATTTGATATTTAATTTTATTCCATTAAATTTTGAAAACTCTTTTTTTTATCTTTCTGTTGTTTTTTTTTTTTTAATAATTTTATTAGTTTTTTTCTCTATTTGTAGTAAACTATATCTATATATATATATATAGTATATATTTATAAATTTTGACGCAAAAAGCTGAGTTTTGACACTTCTGGTGCTTTCAAATATTTTTCTTTTTTTTTATTTGTTTTTTTTTTTTCAAATTTTTTCTCTTTGAAATTTTTTTTTATATATCCTTTTTTAATCATTTTTTCCTTTTTTTTATTTTTTTTATAAAATTTTTTATTTTTTATTTATTTTTGATTTGAATTTAATTTGTAAATATTAATTTTTTATTATAATCTATTATCTTATAATTAAATTACAGTTTTTTTTTTGAATATATTTAAAATTTTTAAGGGCTGACAACTGCCTATTTTCTATCTCTTTTTCTTTTTTTATTTTAGGATAATTTCTAATTTGTATTTTTCATTTCTATATGAATAAACATTAGAATTCTAATTAAGTTTCTTTCATATATCTAATTATAAAATTTTGTTTTCTGTTTGAATTTTTGCGTGCTTAGATTTTTATATCATTTTCTATTTTTAATAGGTCTTCCGTTTTTTTCTTTGTAAATTTTTAATCTTTGCAATTTAAAATTATTTTTTCTCACAATTTTTTTATTTATTTTGGGTCTGTTTCTAGTAAAAATACAGTTTCATCGGTAAAATATTTTTTTCCTAGTCAATAAGTAGAAATTAAGTTTTCATTTTTTTTTAATTGGAAAAAAATTACTTTTCCCATTTTTTTTCGAGAGAGAATATATTTTTTTTTCCTCTGGTACATTAATAATAATACATCTTTATATTTATAGTCTATATTTCTTTTTTAATTTTTTTTTATTTATATGTCATCGTTTATCATCTTATACTACTTTTAGTCTTCATTCATTTACCACCTGACCACCACAACTAGCTAGCCATCAATTTGGCGACGTTTTCATATTTATATATTATATTTATATATTTTTGCATTATTCTTCATATTTAACAATAAATTTTATAATTAAATTTCTATTAATTTATTATATTTTTTATTATGATTTATGAGATAAAATTAATATTTTTAACTAATTCTCAATATTACAACCAAACAACGGAAAATAAGTCATTTGGAAAATATTTTTTAGCAAGTTATTTTACGAAAACAAATGAAACAGAAGTATAAATGAACTCCCTATTCATTTTCTAAAATCTTATTCCTTCTAATGAAGTTGGAGAATTCAGTGACCGATGAGATTAAATTTATCATTTCTAAGTCTAAATGAACAATGGAGTTGCAAACTTTGATTTTTGAACTTTATCAAATATAAAGTTGGAGATTCCTACATTTAATACTTTTACTTTGGCATTTTCTATTTAGTATAACACTATAATTTTGATATATATATACATTTCTTTGTCTACTACTTTCTTGTCTACTATATATATATATATATATGATATATATATCTAATTGCTGCTCTTGGAATTTGTTATATATATTCCTATTGCTGCTCTTGAATTTGTCTATGAATTAGTAAACATAATTTATCCGTTGCTCACCTCTTTATTTTTAGTTTTTTATGACTATATTTTATCATTTAATTTGAATTTTTCACTTTTTATTGTTAATTAATGAGATAATTATCTTTTTGTTTTTGTCTTTTCATCAACTTTATATAAATTTGATATAATGATATGCCTAATTAAAAATTTTGTATGCTTAAATTAAATGAAAAAAATATTTGGTTTTCAGTTCAAATTTTAGTCTATTTGCTATGATTTACCTCAATTTGATTTTTATTTTGTTTATTGTTAAATTAACATATTAAAGCTATAAAAAAAAAATAAAAGGCCTCATATGCTTGATATGCCAAACTAAAGTTTTTTTTTTTTAATTCTTTTAGAACTTTTAATTCTTTAATTTTGTTGTGTTCTATCTCATGTTTAATAAGTAAAAATGAATGGTTTAATAATCAAATCCTTCACAAGCTAAAAACGGAAGGAACGAAAGATTTAAAAGTTGGACCCAACTCCTTGAAGAAGCCGAGATTATCAAGAAAGAAATGTGGTTAATCCGCGAACATGTAGAAAATCTCAAAAAGTCAATAGCTATTAAATTTTAACTAAAAGAAAGGAATAGAGGACAATAAAGTTAATAAGCGCTCATCTGAATTTCAAAAAAGAATCTCAACTTATAATTGTAGTAAGCAATATAATTTATTATTTAATAATAATTAACTATTACTCCAATTTACTTAGTTCAAAATAAATCCAAACCAAATCAAGCCATGTGGAAGCCTAATCGGAAAAGTATATCATATGTCAAATTAAAATGCCAAGTATATATGCCACATGTCAACTTTCTAGGGAAAAAATACTTGCTATATATATATGATTTTGGTCTCCTTTCCAATATGGTTCCAACGCTATGCATTTATTTTTGGAAAAAAATTAGAAATGGAATAGAATAAAAAAATGTTATTATATAATATATGAATTAAGAAAGTTGAATTATTGTATTTGGATGATAATAAAAATTTTCTATAAAAGCAGCATAATTGTGACAAAAAAATGTTATTATATATTATAAAAAAAAGTGACATTATGTTGAAACTAAAATTAAAATCGAGTAACTAAAAAATGATAAATTGAAATCATATGACCTAAATAAAATTAAGTGTAA